TTAACAAAATTCCTAAAGTTTTTAGCTTTATTAGATTAAAAGTGCTACTTAAAATAAAGTGACAGGAATAAAGGAGACAAATGTAACAAGTATAATCAAGTTAAGTGTTTTTATTATAACTTTTTTATAAATAAAATAAAGTATCATTTTCTTTAAGTTAAAATTTACGTATGAATTTTATTTTCATGAAATAATTTAATTTCACAAATATAATTTTAATATGAACTTTATATTGACTGTGTTCCATATATCAAAAATTAAATAATCTCTATTATGACTATGATAAAAAAATAGTAAATATAAAACGAGATTGAAGTGTGAATAAAATATTAAGAGTTGAAAAATTTATCGCATTTATAAAAGTGTGGGTTTTCGAAACTTTATTTGATTGTGTTAATTGCGTGATATTACTACTTGTCAAAATGGAAACTTATTCATAATAACAATAGTATTTGATGGATAAAAATGAAAAAATCGATATTAATAACTGTATTAGATTAGTAAACTACGATATGTTAAGGAAGAATTTTATTTTAACTTTAATAAATATAATTAGTAGCTATTTACATTACTTTGTTAGTGAAAATATATGCTCCCTGTACCCATTTTGCATCTGATAATTCACGTTACTCTTTTACCATTTTTTATACGTAGTATTAAAAAGAAGTGGGGAGTTCAAGTCTCTTGAATAAAATTGTGCTATAGATAAACGAGGCTATAATAAGGTATTTAGACAAGTAAATTAGAGTTATTCTTTATTATAAAACTACAACTTTTGATAAAGTTTGTTGTTGTATATTAGTTAAAACAATTGGTAATATAATTATAGTCTCTATACTATAATAATATTAATGTTTCGTTGTTCTGGGGTTATGGTTAAATTGTCTTTCAAAGAATAAAATAAAATATAGCAGTCAAGAGCCTACGGAATGAGAAAAGTTGAAGTGTCATCCGTAACGTTTGCGGTATTTCGTATTTTATTTACAAAAGTCAAATCAAATAACGACTTTATATGACTTAAATATGTGTTCATTTGAACTAACCTTACAATACTGTCAATAAAACGTATCTAAAATACTCATAGATATGACATAAGGACCAAAAGTAAAGGAATAGAGGTAAAATTTTTATCCACAGATTTTAAAGACGCCTTGTCGGTTTGCACGCAAAGCCGTCCGGATTTATGCGAGTCCTGACAAACGAATGGTTACCCCAGCCATTGCTAGATTGAGAACAGCATCTGAACGTTATTTCCGTTACTGAAGATATCGCAATCTCAGCGTCTTATAAACTTCATTCGACTTAAATAGAAATTTGACCATAGTTTTTACTCATCGACCAATGTTTTAATTAAGATTTAAAGTATTATGATTTTAATCTTTAAATGTTGATAATCTGTTAAATTTATTTAGATTTTATAAAAATTTTGTCAAACCTTAAAATTTTTACTAAATTCTGTTATTTGCCTCATCTAAAAATACATTTATAAACATATTTTGCTTGTGTATGGAAAATATAATATATATAATATTGTGTGTGGAAAATATACTACATATTAGCGAATATATTTTCTTTCAGGGGATCTTTTTTTGTTGGTGGAATAAAATTTCATGTTAAGGTATTTTTTTGCAGATAATATAATACAGTAGATGATCATAAATTTATAGACCAATAAATACCCATAAATTTAAAATAAGTACTAGTGGTTGAAACCAACTTTTTTGTAGACCACATAACTATTATTCCTTCATCTTGCTAAATTGATATTTTCATATATGCTGCCATAAAAATCCTTTTGGGCGGGAGATTTAATGCTTAGCTTAACAAGAAAAGATTTCACTCTAGTCATAAATTACGAAAAGTACCTAAATCCTGGATCACGGTGAACGACACCAAATCTATCGTTTTATAAGTTAAAAATAGACGGTTCGTTAATGCATACTAACGTGTTTAGCGCAAAATTTAATCTCTAACAAGGGTATTGAATTCCCCAACTTTTTATACATCTGTTTCATATTCTTCCCAGTCGCAACAACCGCGTTTACTTTTTACGACTTTATTATTTTTATCGCCTCACTCGTAACACCAAGTGTTAGACATTATTTACATTGTTTGGCAATTTTTTATTTTGTTGTTCTTATCATTGTAATTATTGAAAATATTGTAATAGAAGTTTATTTCTACGACCTAATATTCCAATGTATTTTGTTTATGTAATGTATTGGGATTGAAGCTGTGACATGTTATACTTCTTTTCTTATACCGTGAACATAAAAGTTGCACATGTGTCTGCAGGTGTGATGTGAGTATGTGATGTGATGTGAGTATGAATGTGTTTGTATATATTTTATATTTAATATGCTGAACAAAATGAATAAAAATGTATTCATAGTCAGATTTAAAACTTACAGCCAACGATCATCGCAACCAACTGATCAAAACATGTCTACATATGTATGTATTATATTTATAAATTAAATAATGTAAATTTACATGAGGTCGTAACAGCATTTACTTTATTTGTTAGGAAAGATCACTGAGATCTTAGTACAAATAATTAAATTCAACTAACAATGTTGAACTACCTAAATAGTCTCAGCCATCCTGAATATATGTAATACGTTCAAAAGCTTATGAATAGAACATGTTGAACTAACTGAGTTACTTGTTAGAAATACTATTGACATATATAATGGCTTAGCCATCGTATGATTGTGGATTATGTGTGGAAACCGTTTGAGTAATCATAATATAAGATATATATATATATATATATATATATATATATATATATATATGTATATATGTATATCGAGTATTCTGCGCAAATTAATTAAATTTGAGAAATATTTTGCTTCATGAATTTTTATATACTTTTTTTTTTATTTTTGTATTTGAGTACATTAAGCTTTCCAATAATAAATAGATTATTAAAATTGATAAGGTGGGAATATTCAATGTTATATTTTGTTATCTTGATAAACTATGTTTACGCATCAACTTACTTGTGTAGTCTTCACGAAATATAATAAAAAGGAACTATTTTAAGACTATTACTTCTGTCAAAGTATTTGGTTAGAAATGGGTTAAGTATAGTAAAGTATAGTATAGTATAGTTATAGAAATGATGTAGAAGATATCATAACTAACTAATATTTCGGTTGTATAAACGCATTATAGTTATAACTATACCACGCTCTCTGAATATGTATCTCTAAGTTTGATTGATTGCTTAAGATTGAATTTTCATGGTCGCTGCTCAAGAAGAGCCGCTATCTTGAATAGAAATCTGTGTAGGTTACGACTGATATTTGCTATGGAATTCCTTAAGCACGTCCATTTACTACATCATCTTATTCACTTATTACACATTAAGGTAGGTAATAATAAATATTTTTTTTTAATATAACCTGGTGTATTTTAAAATTGTTTAATTTGGTTTCTCTTTGATCAATCAATAAATGAATATCTTGAACCATAATATTAATTATATCATGTGAATTGTTATCAATATTCATCTTAATTCAACATATATGTACCTATACAGTGAGATACTAGTATTATGCCAAATAATGATTACAGTACATATATAGTAGACTGATACTAGTAACCACTATTTGATGTACTAAACACCCAATACCCCAGGGGCGTTATAGTATAGAAAATAGTAATTTCTAACGTGATATAACCGACTGATATAACCACACGAAGGAGGCTTTTGTAAATACAATATTTGTAAAACCTCACAATACTTAAACAAAAATAGATTTTATTAATGCATGTTATTAGCGTCTGCAAGTAGAGCCATTAGCAAGAGAGCATCCGTGACGCGAACGCAGATACCGATGCAGTTAATGAGCTTGCATAATTACTTAAATATTTTTTATTATTAAACTTAGTCAACTGTTTTATTAAACGGACAAATGTTAATTATATCGTTTAATTTTAACCTTTGGTAATTAATCACATACTAATTGAACGGCTATATTTTATGTTAAAAGTTTTTTTTATAAAAAACAAAGTTTTACTTTTACTGCTATAATTCAATAATACATACTTTTTAGTGTAATCAAAGGGGTATTTAAATAAACGTTTAAATTTGATATTTCAATGGAATTTACGAGATAAAGTTAAAATTTAAATTTTATTGTAGACCTTTATTTAGTCGAAAGTGAATCCAGTTACATAAAAATATGTTTTGAAGCATAATATCCTACTTTTAAGTAGAGTGTATTAAAGAGTAAAATTAAAAAAAATGTATATATTCATTAGGTTCAAATATTTTTATATCTACAAATATTAAATAAAAATAGACTAGGATTTGTGTATCAAATTTGAAGGCAGATGATGGAAGGTGAATAATTTTGTCTTATAATGTGACATATATCTGTCTTAAATAATTCTTCTAAACATATTACATTTTACAGGCAACAGAACACACAAAAGGAATTTATGTCTTTCTGAATTCTTTAGGGTAAATTTAGTTCGTTTGTAAATTTGGGATTGTGAAGGATTCGAAAGAAAGAAACTGGTATATGAAAGAAAAAAAGAAGTGCTTCTAATGCCTCTGGGTTCTATAAGGGATAATTTTGATTGTTTTAGTTTTAATGAATTGTTTTTTAGCGATATACATTTGAAAATTTTGCTGTATGATTTCTTCAACGGTTAGACTGAACTTTTATACCGATCTTCCAACAGTGGATAAACAGAGTGTTCGGGTCCGTTAGTTACTATATTCCGAGTTCTAGTCATCTCCTGCACTAAGTGAACGGTGAGACGGGTGAACAAGCGACTGACTTGTCAGTCACTTGAGCCACTCGAGATATTTGAGGACAAATAAATTTGTAGATAACCAAGTAAAAATCTATCTTATTACATTTATAGCTCAAATAAAATAAAATACATTTAAAACTAACAACAATTCCCCAGCTGATTTGATCACTTAACACAAATCTCAGTACGTGACTAGTTTAGTACTAGAATCATAATGGTGTCCTTACCGTCATGAGAGTCGTAGATGTAGATGATGGTTTTCCAGCCATAAAATGTTATAGTATCGATGACAGCTCGGTGGTAATCAGGTTTTAGGCTAATGGCGTAGTCAATCAAACCGGAGGTTGGTGGGATAACCTGTGAAAATAGATAAAAAACATGTAATGTAAACGTCAAAAGTGAGAGTGTTAAATTAATTACATTGTTACAAGAAATACAAAAAGAAAAACTCTATAAACCGTATATTTATTATATTATATGAACTTAGTACACAGTTATAAAAGTACTTTAAAAATTATGAAATGTCAAAGCACTGACTATTAAGCATTTTTAGAAAAAAACTCTTGTTCGCTACCAGCACTTTCATTAAAATATACATACTCGTATATACATTACAACTGTTACTTAATGTTCCCTTTAAAATAAAAATAAAATCAATTTTAACTCTTGATTTGGTCTAATAAACAGTTCACTGGGTGCTATAATTATAGGTTGTCAAAAACATATTTATATCCGGTCATATAAATACAAAATATAGCTTTAATGACTTCTTTAAAACGCATATTCTTTGAAGTATTAGGAAGTTATTAATAATAATAATCTTACTCAAGTAAGATATTGAAAACTAGAGAAAAGCGCTGATAAAAAAGTTAAAGTTAATATTATATATTAAAATATAGTGTCTTTGTCCATTTAAATGAATTTACAAGATATATTTCATTTATCCATTCTAATCATATTTAAACCTAAAATCATCTATTAATATTCATGACCTCTTTAATTTTGACTTGACTGAGATTTAAGTATACCTACGTTCAAATACATGAAATTATTAATGTGATGTGATATTATAGACACTGGTAACGATAGTTTAGCCACTGCGGCTAGCCATAATATTACACGCAGATGCACATAATAACGTGTTGGTGGTTATGGTTTATTTAATAATAAGTTTATCTTTATATTTATTTTTATTAAAATTAAACTATTATTCACAATGTTATGTTTTTCTCAAGGATTATATTACCTATTTCTTGCCTTCAAATCAAGAAAATTTAAAGGTGTTATTCCTTATTTGATATTAGAAGTTTTGCTTTGCTCGTTGTCTTAATTAGCAAGAAAATGTTATGGTAATCTCTACAAAATTTGGCAACGTGTAGTGTGACTTCAATTTACCAGAATAAACTTAGTTTCAAATACTATTATCATAAAACCATTAAATTCAAGACTTGTAGAGAATACTGTGGAATTCTTTACATTTCTATTTTAAGACAACATAATAAAAACAATTTCATATGGGTGATAAAATAATAAAAGTGCAGACTGTTAAAAAGAACGCTATAATAAAGGAAAAACGGGTTTCATCCGATATTGGAACGAGTCATCATCGCTATTCTCATATTAATAAGGGCTATTTTAGTAGCCTTTGAACTCTATTAAACTATGTGAAACAAGAAATTTAACATTAATGGTTAAAACAGGCGAGTTTCCATAGGAGCCAAGTCGAAGACAGAGGCAGATACTATCCCACTTTGTTATAATTTCTTTGATATATTTTTAACGGTCTATTTGAAAGAATTATCAAGATAACAATAACTTAATGTTTAGTGTTGTAATGTGTATTTTATTGTATTAAGTGGGTTTCTTTAATTTTAAAGTATAAATTTTAAAGATGTCTTTGAGTATATATTATTTAAACCAAACATGTTTAGTAATTACGCAATTACGTATGCATGTTGCTATTTTTACTTAAGCTTTAATAAAGCTGCTAAGTTCCTAAATTTTCAGGTTGAATAAACTTTATTTCCTTCATTAACAATAATATAATGTCATATAATGTTTTTACGTTACTATAATATAAAGTTGTGTATCGCATGAGAAGTTATTTTAAGTCTCTTAATGAAAATTCTGGCAGAAACATCTTATAAAAGTTCGTTCATTCGCTTAGAAGGAGGCCTAGAGCTAAATATGCAATATTTTATTTTTCTCGTGAAAATTGTTTGATGATAGGCAATCAAAGAGCGAGTTACTGTCAAGAGTTTTGTAAGAAAAATTTTGATAAAAAAATTCTTATTTTCGTATAAAATATGGCTCTATAAAGGTTGGAATTGCATATAATGATTTTTAGCTCTCCGTCAAGTAACAATTTCCAAGATGAGGTACTCTACAAGATGGGATTTCCAGCGCTTCATAGTCTTAAGTATTTTTCTGAGAAGCTGATGAAGAGTAATTAAATTAATTATAATATAAATTAAATAGAATTTTTTTATTAACATTATAATAATACTAAGTTATATTTTCATAGAAACACATTTATTTGTGTAGGATTATTCCTAAAGCACGTTATTATAATCCTTGTAATGTGTTACACTTTTTTTTTACGTATATATAAACCGAATAGTGAAAAATAAGAGTATAGAGAGATATTTTATAAGTATTTTTCTAGACATGAGATTTTATAATTTACCCTTAATTGTAAGGTCGATTAACAGACGCCTTGTATTTAATATTCCAAAGCCTAAATTTCTAAACATTCCTAGATTTCATACCGATATTCCAAATGATGACTGTTCTTTTCTTTTTATTGAACTTATGCTCATAAAATTTTCAGATAGCTTAAGAGGAACAAAAAAAAATTACATGAGTAAAATGTAATGATCCTTTGGATATAGTAAAATGAATTTCCTTTGATATACTCTGATTAGAAATAATATTAAATACATATATTGTAGGCATTGTACACAATAAATATTACTCCTTACTAGTAGAACTCTCCTATGATCATTGTAGGAGTGACCCGCGGGTATGTTGGTATCTCATAAATGGGAGTTAAAGGCGTGTCCAACCAGTTTGCGGTCGCATGATATTGCAAGACTAAACTAATTTGTGGTTATGATTATTTATACACAATTCTGTACATTTGTGTTGCTGTATGTTATGTTTACAACAAATTAAATATATATATACCATGTAAACGTTTTCGTGTGGGATAGATATATAAAAAAAACTATTTTTGTGTTTGTTGTCGGTTTTGAACTTGTAGAATATTTTATTAAAAATAAAAAAATCTGTAAATTTTATTGAAAATAGGTAAGTCCTCTTACAATATTACATATTTTTAAAATATAATATAGTGTGTCAAACTCCGGATACTTTTTGTGTATTCTATTCATCTTTTTAATAAAAAGAAGATTACCGTTGATTCTTAAATTAATTCCTTAGACGTTTACAAAAATGTCTTGTATTATACCTCGCTTTCACCTTTTCGACTCCTTGAGACAATTTGCTGACTCTCCAGTGAAATTTAATTTTAAAGAGAATAAAAGTATCTTTGATATCTTAATAACTGAAATATGTATTACATTTATGTTCTGGAATGATGAGGGAAAAATCCAGTTTGATTTTGCAAATAATCAAGAGAAGATTATTTATTTGGATCTTTGGAAAAAAATAACCACGAATATATTTTTAAAATTTAGACTAGATAAAGTCGACGTTTGAATTTCGTATCTTTATGTTGGTACGCTTTTTCTTTATCTACCAACATCCCTGTTTAGTATTTTTTGTACCGCAACCTATTTATGTCATAGCAACAGGAATTTTTTAGCTAATATTTTTTTTTAATTTTCTTGTACCTGGTTTAACATTGATATGATAAAAATAGGTATATTAAAAATAACCAAAAATGAGAAAAATAAATTTTAACAAAGATAAATAAAACAATGTATGAGCGGAATTAATTATTTGTCGAGAAATAATGATAAAAGCAATAAGGTTGTAAGGTTTGGATCGTTGAAAGCTATTTCAAACACTGGAATTTAATATAAAGTTCTTTAATTGTCTTAGAGACAATAATCCTTAAACTATTAATGGTAAATAATTTTTAACGTGTAATATTTAAATGAGTATATTGCAATTTTAGAAGGTTTATTAACTGTTAGAATTAAATACACAAATGCTATAAGAGACGTAATTATAAACCTTGTGAAATGAGTAATAAATTTATGTGAATCAAATTAAAGAAAACACCATTTAAAATGATAATAATTAATATTTAGGATATCCACTTTTTAATATTATAATGATAAATACTCTTTTCAGCATTGATTCTGATAGTAATACTTGTTTGCTACAAGCAAATAGAGTATCGTTGGACATTCTTCTTTAAAATGGAATAAAATATTATTATGTCAGAGAGTACTAACAAGGCTAGATATATTACAATAAATATTATAGTTAATTTTCATCTAACACCATTTTTCTCTTTAAAACATAGTTTCTAAGAAATTTATAGTTTTGAAAGCACAAGATAAACTAAATAATAGTATGGCAATTTGTAAATAATTTGACCATGATAGGTACCCACTCTATAATTTTTATGTTTGAAACCCCCTTCCACTACGGAATTTTTTATTTTTCTTCTTTTTTGACAGATAAAGCGTACGTAGTGTAAAGGTAGTGAGATCTACAGAAGTTTTTTTGCGGTTTTGTTGATAATTTTGTTCCTAAAGAATACTTCTTCTGTCAGTTCTTGTTTTATTTTCATGGCAACTGTTTTCTCTAACTCTAACTCCATTTTGGTATTTCAAACCCTACAAACGATAGATATGGATCAACATCTTTTCTGCGAGCTATGATAAAACGTGAATTTGAAAATAAAACATATAAAGCCATACCATCGTAAAACTCCTCTTGATAGCCCTGTGAGTAAATATTTTACATCTTTAGAAAGGCATTGGTAAATCGAAGATTTTTTGCGCTAGTCTTTATTTCAAAAAAAAAATTGAGGAAAACAAAAAAGCTTTATTTTTAATTTCATTTGAGAAATTTAATTATTCTAGCACTCAAGACTTCTTTGTGGGTCGCAATACAAAATAAGTATATTCCATTTATATACTGTATGTGATTCCAACTGACTAAAAAGATTTTAATAAATTACTTTCAATAGCTGGCATTGTAAAATAGTCAATATTTAAGACAATTGACATGATATTTCTTAAAATTGAATTCATTCAGCATTCATCGTTTAGCATAACTTACACAAATTTGCATTTTCTAATTGAAAACGATATAATATAGACAATATTGAATTTCATAAAAAAATTTATAAAATGTACAATTCACATAAATAAAATATT